TACAAATACCGGTGTATAAGAAAGGGTTTATTTTATGCTTAACAAACATCGTCTTATGAATTGTATGAATTAATTTGCTTGTCACTGATTATGACCTCTTGAGGTCGAAACGCCTTTTACACCAACTGTCTTTTAAAGTGTAAACAGTCTTGTTTGTATGTATGATTTTATATTACATGAAATGTTTCGTTGAACAAAGTTCTTTTATTTCGGTTTGAAGATAGGAGCTCAACACTTGTTCAGGGGTGGCTACCCTTATTAAAGTCTACCTAGTTTTCCTCATCCTCCACGGGAGAACGCTAATACTATACGTTATATAACATTCAGCATTTCGTAATGAATTTGCAATCTTTTCGGAAGAGTAATTCAGAGTTATAATAATTTTCCGCGACTCGATTTTATGGAAATAGGTTTCCATTAATTGTTGACTACTACGATGACGGTGTGACTTTGCTCGTTGTTCGATTGCATTTAAACGACAAAAAGCAGGAAATAGCAGTTATGAAAGGGAGGAAAAAGTGTCCTTGATGTAATGGGAACCAGAAGTAATCATGGGACGTAACACTGCTCACATCACTTATGATGAAATAGTCAAGTTATTTAACATCTTTTCGTTGTAGCTTACAACAGATCCACCGCATGTTTAAAGGGTGTGTTATTTTAAGATGACAGTGCTCTGTGGTGTCCGGTGGTCCTTGATATTTCAAAACAAACAAGATTCAATATTAAACATGGACACAGGATGTGTGTGGGTCATCATAGAGCCATCATTTGTTACTGCATTACTTCTACGCGCGCTTGAATAACATACTTTGACATATTGACTGACTAAAGTAACTGCTTACAAACAGAATAAGATCTTGTTTTTGTATTAATTATTTATTGTTTATGTAAGACTACTGTAAATAGCTCAAATTATAACGTCCAGTGAGATGATTAGAGTAATGCATAATGAATTGGCACTGATGGAGAAGGAAGTGGTATTGACCTAATTTTAAGCGCTACCCGATATTTGTCTGCAGGGACCTGAGAAAACCATGGCAGAAGATCAGTCAGGATAACCTGTCTCGACACCAGGACTTCAACAATTCTACAATAATTCCTGCATGACCCTTCGCAGTGTGAGTATAATATTATCTACATTTAATTCGGAAATTTAAAACATTATTATCATTTTAAATATTGACTTATGAACTCTTCTTGCTTGTACCAATGTCTTTTACACACAGAATATTACTGAATTCCGATATTTCAGCATGATTATAATAAAGCGTTTAGACGTGAAATTGTATGTTCTCACGGCGGTGAAGATGCAGATGCTGGTGTTACAACCCAAGCACGAACATCGACGTTTTAGATGCGTTCTAAGGCACACAACTTGCAGACTGATAATCCAGCCTTACATATCAATAAAGTTTAATATTCTTATAGGGACCAGAAACATCAGTAAGATATTGCCATTTTCCTGTAGTCAATAACGTACCGTACAGAAATTTGTATCATCCCGACTTCTTATTTTTCGGCAATAATATTTCACGTCTCTTCATCTATTCTCTTTTGAACAATCAAGCGGTTCCTTGCCTGAAGATATGAATTACGTATAAGTTTGTGAGTCAAGGTTAGTTGCCCTTACATTGTTTAAATATCTTAGATGTTTTAAACTTTCTTTCTTGATGCATGTAGTCCATGCTTTAAATGTTGCAGTACACAGTGTGCTATTATGGACGTTTTATCCTTTGAAGCAGAAGCTCGTCTAAATAATATTTAAAGAGTTTATGCGCGGGTGTGTGTGTGTGTGTGTACACGTACACGTACACGTACACACACACACACACACACACACACCGAGTTACGGATTGGTAAGACAGGTAGCATGTAGTTTTTCCACTAGTCTTGTAAAGGGTACAGCGTACTCGTAATTAACTTGAGAATGTTAGTGTTCATAAAATGCTATGAAATACAGGAGAAATTTTCATATTAATTCTAAGTAGTTAAAAAAATTGTAGTAATGTTGATATTGTCAGAGGTTAAACATTAATTTCTGAACAGTGACGTTAGCACAAATGGCAAGAAATTTTCGGTGGCATTTCACCAAAAAATTAGTAAGGAACTAAAATATACACACATCTTCTAGGAGGTTCGAGATTTCACATGTATTTCGTAACCATACTTGAACAACTTGTCACAGTTTTGTGTGACTGAAGCACATATTTATGTCACGTAAAACGTATTCTCTTACCTTAAAATATTTGTGGGTGTTCCTCAGAGATGCTACTGAAGCAATGAGAATTCAGTTTATTCTTAATATAAGGGTGTGTTGAATCGTTTTCCTTTCTTCCGTCGTCTTGCTTTTGAATGTTATGTGTATAAAAGTACAAAAATACAAAAAATTGTCTGTCCGCGATCTTTATCACTCGATGAAAATTGACTGTCGATTGTTGATCGTACACTCGTTCACTTCTGCTCTCACTCGTACTATTCTATCTCCTAGCAGCGAAGCCTTCCGAACCGCCCGCGTCCACAGCGACAGTAACGCGAAGAGGTGGCCCGCAGTTGCCTATAATATACAACTGTCTTTTGACGTCATCACTTGACGTCATCAACTTGCCGTTGCCATGGGCTACCGGGTTGTTGCTGGTCACGCCTCGAGCGGACGAATACAGCATCAAAAGCACATAACCTATACCTATTCTAAACGGAATCGGGAATCCATTGTGTTTCACCACGGGGATTAAGAATAGAACGCCAACGCGGCGGGTGTACGTTTCCTGAGACCACCGCACCGAGAAAAACTCAAGCAAATCTTTTGAATATTCATTTTGTGAATGGATTTCTTTCAAATAACGTCTTCAAAATACTTCTCCTGCAGAAACACGTCGAAATATTTTGTTACCGGTGGTTTTATTTATAAATCTAGGCCCGTGTCATCAAATAGTACGAAACGACTGTGATCGATTAATTAGAAACGATGCTGTCGTAACACGCTTCAAGCCATTATTTCACCACGCATCTGGAGGGACTAGGAAACGCCACGGAATCCCTCAGGATTGCCAGTCTCGTAACCAATAGCAGAACTCAGCACTTACCCAATACGAAATGTTAATCATTAACGCGAGACGCTGTATTGAAAAATTAATGGTTGCTCATCAACTTCTACTTCAAGGGTAGATTTTATATTTATGAAGTACTGTTTACCCGGAAGGTCTACAGATCGAGTTCCAAGGTTGTGCTTAGTAATTAATTTCTAAATCGAGCTGTTGACGGCTATAAATCATAAGCATGCCCTGTTTGCTAATTCCTTTTTTTTAATTTGATGGTCAAAACATTATAAACAAAATTCATTATTTCATTCGCACGTTTATATCAAGTTCTCCCTCAAAATCTGCACTACTTTCTTACATTTTCGTTTATGTTAGTCCCTTAAAAATGTATGGGTCACTTAACCGGAATATAACAGCCCAAACTTTGCACTCATTCGCTCTGACTTATAGGTACAGAGGATCTTATTATTAGACACGACCGCTTCCTTCAATACCATTTCTAATTCATTATCCATTGATTATTCGACGCTATATGGTTTAAGTTAGTGACAGCTTTGTTAAATTTTTCACCAATAAATAGAATTATTCTGCAACTTTTTCATAAGAATTACGTCAAATTTCTTTTTGTGTGGCTTTAATTCTTTTCTTACACATGTACAGCGTATTTTGCTTTTACACATAGGCCGTGCAGCCTAGTACTTCCGTTACCTAGTGTTACACGTTCGATTTTAGATTACATGATAATCGCTGTTGTAGATCGTTGTACCAGTAATTGAGTTCTAAACTTATACCGGTAAATGTAAGGAAGTGGCTAGATTTTAACATATGAACATTGTTCTAGGAACATTCATGTTCTAAACATGAAACATACGTAAACAGTGTTATTGACATTAAGCCGTGCAAAGGAACATCGATTGCACATTATTGCATTTAGTTTCTGTCTCTTGTTTCACGAGGTATTTGGAGGAAGGAACTCAGAATGCACACATCATTCTGAAATTTCGAGCTGTTTTCGCATGTGATAATTGACATTTTACTCTTTCTTAGAATTATTTAATGCATTTCAAAGAAGTTTAATGAATATAAATACGAGTAGTATGGTTTGCATTTTTCTTTCTATTATGAACTGAAAAGCTAATTAGTTATTTTGAACTAGGTAAATATATGGAGTAAAATGAAGAGTCAATCGAGTTTTATCGTCATTCATGTTCACACAGCGAACTAAAATTCCATCTTAGATATGATGCCTATTGTGCGAAAGAACTGTTGGGTTTCAAACCGTGTGCTTTTAGTATGCTAGTCGTGTGAGTCATCGTTGTTCGGAGTTTATTTCAGCATTGCACTGTTTGATGCAATAAAAGATTATTAGTGGTGTGTGCGTAAGAGTTAGGAGCCGCCGACCGTGGCCTATTTCAAACTATTTTCCAGGCATTAACCTGGAAATACTGAGGATAACGATGGAAATCGTCGGCCAGTGTATCCGAGTACTCTCAGAATTATAATGCGTAATAAATAATGAATTGCTACTGTTGCAGGCCTATTCGAATCAGAAGTCTGCTCTTGGCTTATTTAGAATGGAAGGGACACACTTCTAAGTTGCCTTATATATTCATTAGGTAGGGCGCATGAGAAAGGCGGTTAAAAATGATTTCCTTGCGGTTTTCAGTAAAGCAAATAGTGACTACAAGAGCTGACAGTACTTGTTGATGTTTGTGTAATTATATTAACGTCGTAACATTTAACATTGAACCATCAATACCAAGAATCTTTAATGTTTTAGACTTGACAACTTTCTGAAGGAAATTTAAACTTGGTACTTGTTGACTTTCCCATAAGGAACTTCGTGCTTCTGATTGTACCTGAAGATCGTAATGGTGAAGTGGTTTTGAAGGCGATAAGAATCTCTGCCTAACTCGCAGTGAAACGTGCTAAACCACGTGTTGAAGAAATATCCGGGTGAAAAAGGATTCGGGTGGTAGTCGAAGGTTGTTAGCGCCTACAATTTTGTGATTTAATGAATGTGGGAGTGATGACGAAACTGAAGACGAAGAGAACACGTCGTTTGCCATCATTCATTCTCCATTTGGCCTTGATGTCCATTAATTGACAGTGAAAATATTTTGTTGCAGAACAAATAATTTTAGAGTCACCATATTATTCAGAGTCATAAATTATTTTACCACATACTTAGTTACATATGAGCCGGGATAGCTCAGTGAGTATAGTGACTAGCTACGGCTGGACGGCCGGAGTTCGATCCCCGACAGGGGCAGAGGATTTTTCCTCTAGCGTCTGTGTCCGGGGCCCACCCATCCTCCTCTACAATGGGTACCGGGGTCCTTTCCCCGGGGTAAAGCCGGTCGGGGCGTGATGCTGACCACTCACCCACATCTAGTGCCGAGGTCAAGGAAGAGAGGAGCTATACCTCCACTCACCCCAAACGCCTACATGGCGTATAGTGGGACAAACTTTACTTTACTTTACTTAGTTACATACTCAGCATCTCTATATATGTTTCAAATGGAAGTTATAGATCTGAAATATGCAATTGTGCCATGTACTAGTTCCGAATGATATTTTTAAATGAAATGGATAATATAATTTAATTTGAGTTTTGTGTGAAATAGGGGACTGATATCTATCAACGTTAAATTAGAGTACGCAACTTTTCATTAATTAATGGTTTAATTATTTCGTACATATTTGATTATTTTTTTTAATTAATTAGGTATGTGTGAATGCGTTGTAAATTCGAAGGATCGTGCTGTTATCCAATGAACAGTGAGGGTAGACTTAAGATACGGGATCAGATCGATTTACTGCAGTTCATGTCGCATCCACGTGTAGTATATATATGGGCATTTGTAAATAACACATTTACGATAAGTTCATACATAAGTAATATTGAGGCAGGAGAGACTGTTTATTCTGTTCATGTATCTGCCTGTTTTGTTATCAATTACGTATGGGCATCAGAGCACAATAGTACACCTAAATACAAGGGAAGGTCATCATAATGATCATTAACATCTTGTCAGGTATGAGGTCATGTGACCTGTTACTGTTTAATTTATCTTTTCAATGGCCTTTCTTCTGGAGAAGATAAAATTCTTAACTTATCAATATTTTATATTGAGAATTCTGTTTTACAAATTGCACAGAATGAACACATTACGAAGAGAACATGTCTTCCAGTTCGCATGTTTGATCTCCAAAGCCTGATTACATTTAATTTCGTAATGAGATTATACACTGAAGCCATCTAGCGAATTTACATAAAACCTTGTCAAAAACGGCTCGTGCATAAATTTGTACACAACATGTACTGTGGGCATGACTAAAATCAGGTAAAGTGACGTAAATTAAAAAATCATAATCAAAGTATGATTCCTACTTTTGGGCTTAAATTTAATGTTGGAACTTATCTGTAATTTAAGAAAATATCATTTCACTTTCATTTTACGGCTTAATTATATTTCTGTGAATTAATAATCAATAAATGTGATGATTCTTTCCATGTCCTGATCTTTTGGCATTTTGTCACATTCGAATTTTCACAGTATTATACAGATATAATCATTGAGCGTCCCCTGAATAACATTGGAGAGACAGTGAAATAACATAAGTGAGTTTAATAAGCTCTATTTAGCTATTTTAGAAACTAACACTCGCAGAAGAATTAAACAAATTTGACATCATAACAAAACAGTTGGCAGCCAAACTTTAAGGACTTTAAAGAGGAAACGAGGACTTAGTTTGGCTATAATATGTTACAAATATAAGCCAAAATGAAGAGGAGGAAGGCCACGGGTTTATAAACTAAAAGATGGGAATTACCTTGGAACTGGAACGATGTAATAGATTAATGAATGATGATCATGGACTGTTAACACATTTACAACTGTGACACACAATGTAAAAGGCTTTCTTAGACCCTGAGTTAAGAGGATCCGTGAAAAATTCGCCCACTGCCTTCGCTTATTAACTTGTTATTTAAAGTTACTTAGGTTTATTTGAATGTGTTTATGCAGGAACTGACGTCAGAATATAGTGAAGGTGTTAAATGTAAATTAATTTGTGAACCGAGTGTAACTGTTAACGTAGAGTATGACGCAAACGTACACCTGCATGAGACAGGTTGGTGACAGAGGTTTCACTGATTTTAAATTTCGTATTTAGTTCCGATGCATTTGTCTGCTTTTCTGTTCCTTAAGCCCGAGTTTCTTGTTTAGAATACCGGCCGATAGATAACTAAAGGTTTTCATGAGTTTCCTCTGCCCGTCTTGAAAATTCCTGTTGTTGACAAGACGTCGTTAAATTTATAAGTAAATACCATGTTTACCCAGAGTAGGCCTACTTCTGATTTGTCTTATGCTATACATCGAATTATATTACAGTTTACTAAATGTAATTATTTTATTTAATTAAGAAACGTCTAGTTTCATTGTGTAAAAAGAAAACTGGATCTGATGTTATTTAATTTCGTTACGACAAATTTTCATGAAG